AGGTGCTGTACTACTCATGAGGTCTTGTCCAGCCCTACTTTCCCAGAGTCCTGTGATCCTACGCAAAGACAAATATCAAGAGCTTAAAATACATGAGAACTGGCTAAAATGTATGATCTGGATTTTCAGTTATTTTAATCCTTCCCTTCCCACTGCTTCAATAAAGAGTTGTAGTACTGATATTTTGATTCAGACATAAGCTAACTACAACTGGCATCTTTGGGTGCTACTGTAATTTAAATATTAATAAGATGACAGGTGTTCTAGCAGGATTGTTTATACTCTGCTGTGAAGGCAACAGTACAAAATGGCATTGTCATGTTACAACTTTCTGTCTGTGACACCTCACTACTGTGGATAGATTCAAAAGGTACAGGCAATTGAAACATAGTGTTGTAGTTGCATAAAAAGGAGAAAAATCCAGCAACTCCCTTGTGTCTCTCTCAATTTTACAGGAACATAAAGCAGTAAGTATATTTTGGTCACTAAAATCTGCAGATTCAACTCCAGTTCCAGTAGGAGCAGGTCTGTGAGGAAGAAGGTGCCATTTTTAGAGTCACTTTTCAGAGTAAAACCATGCATTACATTAAGCTGCTTTTGATGAAGTGCCTGAAGCACCACAGTGGAAATTTCACTCTCTTATACAGAAGCAAATTTTGCATCGCACTTAACGAAAGTAAATCTCTGTCTACACATTAACAAGCAAACATTCCTTCTTTCCCACTTGGAGCGTTGATCCCCTTTCCTTTAACTTACCCTCCATGATGGTCAGAGGATCTTCTACTTTTGGGCGCAGGATGTTGGGACCAAAGACAGTTGCTAGATTTTGCACACTCATTTTGTTTACACCAGAATAGGACTGGACCTCATCCAGGAATCTGTTAGAAGTGGAAAAAAGGCACTCTTGAGGTAAAGAAAAGTCAAGGGTGGATCAGCAGCCTTACAGCAGCATTTTTGCATGGAATTTCCTAGGAAACTAAGAACTTGGTATGAAAAATGTTCTGTAGTGAGTCCAGAAATTTTTCTGCACTGGAGCTTCCTGCCAGTACACATGTAATGCTGTGTGGATCATGAAGGTGAAGGTGAGGGTCTTATCTGCAGAAAGTTATTATGTTCCATCACGCATGGCTTATGGTGAGAATTTCTACACTGAGTCTTTGCTGTGCCTGGGAACTGTGCCATGTATGCTCCACCCAGTCATCCATACTCCATCCATGGGACCCAACTCCTGAAAATAAGGCAATGTAACTGCCTCAGAAGGCTTCTACTCTTAGGCTTTCTGTCTGGTACACACACAAAGCAGCTCTAAAGTAGCTAAAATGCCTCATTTCTGGAATTTGGTGCATATAGTGGGAGTGAATTAGCAAGGCATGCTTCAAGGAAGTGCCTTCAGGCTTAGCATGTAGGCATTGTAGACAAGGGCTGTGACACACAGCTCCCTGGAGCTTACACAGATGAGATCCTGTCCTTCATGCCTTGAAAGACTTTTAGGGAAGAGAAGAAAGGATCTTGGATGAGATGTCTGAATCAAAGAAAAGGAAGGATCTTCAATACCTTAGTGCAAGAGGGCATGTTGATCCTTTAACTAGGTGCATCACTGTCCTGGAACTTTTCATTTCTAAACCATGGCATTCTGGGGGGGGTTGTAATTTGTAGAAAGAATGCAAGATTGGGGGAGGGGTGGAGGGAGAGATGCTGAAAAACATGCTCTAATAGGCTTCCAGTTCTCCAGTTAATTGGTATCTATCATGGGACCCATCAACAATGGGAATTGTTTTGCATGTGTCCTCCCTATATAGTTTTTAAATTTTCTGATATTATATGCTGAGTTTTAAAGCCTAAATAATAACTATGTTCTTGATAGCTCCTAACAAAACAAGCTCTTAACCAAAAAAAGTGAATACATGTAACAAACTCCATCAAAACTATATTTGATGAAAAACTATATTTTATCTCAAGGTTCCCATTCACAAGTGTATATCAATTAACCTTATGCCATTAGAAGTTGATAGTAACCAAAAAATAAACAGCTTTACAATTAAAATTAATTGTTTGGGGTGAGAAAGACATTTATGATAAAATACTATTCTAATAGTATCCTGTGCCAGAAGTCTTTATTTTATATTATAATATATTATATTCTCTTTTTCTCATTAACTAAGGAAAAGAGAGAAGTTTAAGTGTCATGATGCATTTCAATGTTTAGGCTTATTTCACTGATATTTTTCTCATTTAAGGCTAAGAGAAGTATAGTGAGCTAGTATTAATTCTGTCCTATTTGGAAAGATTAATATGATAATGTTTGGTTGAATTCAATTAACATCAGAAAATCCACTAGATGAAAGATTAACTTTTGACACAGAGGAGATGAACAGTTGTAGTTCAAAGGTTTTAAAAGCCAGTGAAACAATTAGAGAGCATGGAGGAGAAGCACTGAGTAGTAATAGCTCCAGGAATTTTGCAAATGTAGCAGGTAATTAAGAGCTGTAAATATAGCCAAGAGTTGACACTCCTTTACCCAACTACATCTCTTTGCCTTTGTTTTCAGCTCTGGGCTGTTAATTACTTCCACTCATAGTTGTGCAACTTCAGAATAAGTTAGTAATAGTTTAGTAAGCAAAACTCTAATTTCATTAATGTAAATTTACCAACACTGTGACTTTCTTTATTAAACTTTTTCCTTTGATGCATTCATACAGAGACACGAGTATACCTGGCATGTCAGAGAAATAAACATGTTGAGGATATTCTGGCAAATGCACTTACCTACAGATGTACTTCAGCAAACTGAAATTAACAGGTGGAAGACTCTTTACTTGCTTCACTAATTCCTTCAGCCCCTGTGTAAATAAAAAGAAAGAACTCAAAAGGCTCTCAGTATTTAGCATTCAACAAAATCATTCTTAATCATTACAATATTAAGAACATAGCTGAGTCTGGTCTGTAGTATTAATAAAATAGAATACACTAAAAAAATGAAGTAGGACAGCTGCTCATATCAGCACCAGATAAACTATGCTTACTTGCCTACAGAAGCTGTTTTGGGTGGGCAAAGCAATCTTTGGGCTGCCTAACAAGGAATATACTAAAGCTAGCTAAGAAAACCACTTTGTTGCCCAATGAAAGTTTTCAGGGTTTCAAAAATGTTCTAGTAATAAGTGTCATATTGGACAAAACCAAGAGCCATCTCCCCCGGCTTTTTACTTAGAAAGAGAGAGATACTCACTCATTCTATGTCACCTGAAATAGATGGTCAACATTCAAGCTCAGGCTCTTCTCAAGTCTAATGAAGAACTTAAACCTCGGTCTTCCACATCCCCAGTGAGAGCTGTAACCACTGGATTATTGGCTATCAGAGGTTTTTCTCTCAGACAAAAAAAATCTGTCTTGGAAAGGTGAAAAGTTTCCATTTTGGCAAATTGGCATATTAATGTTAAAAAAAAAAAAAATCACTGAAAAATTCCAGATGCCTGTAGTCTATACCAGCACCAGACAAGCAAATGATTACTTCTGTCTGTGCCCTCAGTAGATTGAGAAGAACCATAACATCATGAATTTAGCCTCTGTGCCCATAGGAAATAGACCCAAGATAAGGTCCTGCTGCCAGTTCATTTGGTTCAGCTGAGCCTTTGGTATTGTCCCAGGTTGTTTGATTTCAGTGTAATTCAGGATGGAAAAGAGATCGTGATACCATAAATAGTTGCCAGCTGGGTGCTAGAAAAGGAAGCGAGAAGATAAACAGCTATCTAGATGAATACTGACATCACTTGTAACTTGCACAGCAGGAGAATTCATCATAATGGCTGAAAAAATTAGTTTAATGTTCTAACAATCAGGCAGCTGAGCCAGGATAAAAAATGGCTTATCTTTTTTAGTACCGGACATTCATACTGTCAGTATCCCATAGCCAAGCCAGCTTCCAAGTTCATACAGGCATTGCATCAAGATTAAAGCCTTGTTTTCAAGTATAGCTAATAAATATTTCATGTAATAGTCTCAAGGAAGCTAAAGAAATACAGGGCAAACACGAATACTGTTACATGGATGTACAATTAATTGGAGAATGGAATGGACAAGTATTAACCTGGTTATTGTTATGATAAAGGTATCAAATAGTTACATGGGGTTGGTGCAGGGCACTCAGGCAGAAAAGTAAATCACAGTGCTTATCCCACCATAAATTACATTAAACAAAATAAACAACAGAGCAAAACAATGCACCTTGCAGGAAATGGTGAAGACCAACACACACCAGGAGTATTTCAAACTGGATGGGAGAGCTTGTTTCAGAGCTGAAAATGATAGAGTACATTGCCACAACTCCTTTAAATCAAGGGAGACAGAGCTTTCCCAGCCTTCTGGCAGCAATAGATAAATGGCTCAGGAGACAGGTAATCTCTCAGTTAGGAAAGGTCCAAGCCATTATGAAATTTTACTAATTTAGAGGCTGGGGAATAGAGAGGACTTTACTTCTGGCTCATCAGCCAGAGTTAAGGACAGCAAAACAAACTAGAACTGTAATATTATCTTGGAAAATTAGAAAATGGGCTAAATCGATAAGAGTAAACTTATTTGTGGTTAATCTGACGTAAGAATAAAAAACCGAGGGATGATACCATACAGCAGCTGCTAACATACAAAGAGGGATGTGCAAAGGAGAGCAGTCTCATTTATGATGTCAACACAGCAAGATACTTTGCCCTCAACTTTCTGTAGAGAAGACATTATGGGTTAGGTCCTCTGTTCTGTTCATCAGCTTCACACCAGTCCAGCAAATCTGGGAAGCTAGGCCAGCATTTTTAAGAAGCAATAGGCCAAGAAGAATTCAGCTAATATCTGGGGTAAGTTAAATCAGAGCTGATAGAGACTGGTTTGGCAAAAACCTGAGTGATATTTTAAGGACTAGAAGCCCAGGCGAAATTTCAAATGCTCCTAAGATTCCAACTGAAAATCAATAAGACTTAGGCTTCTGTGGCACTTATTAAAAAGTTACTCCTAATTTAAGGCCCAATGAGTTCAGCAGGAGTTTGTGACAGGCAACAGTGAATGACAGTTCAGAGGACCAAAAGGAAGTCTCTTCCATGAAATGTCCTAACATAACAGACATCTTTCTTGACCATGATTCAATGGGTCACAGTCTATACAGGCATATGACTGTTTATTTGACTCCACAGTGACCTCTGCACTTTTGAGTAAGCAGAGTAACTAGAGCAACTAGGACACAAGCCTTTGGGGTGCTGACAAGGCAGGGGGTGTCAGAATGTCTGGAAGGTACTCTGCTTGGCATGAGCTCATCCAGAGTCTCTTAGCTCTGTCCCTGCTCTGTCCCTTTATCAACCTCACACCCCCTTTCCATTCTCTGCGGCCAACAGCTACTGAGTTAACCCTCTTACTGCTTCCAGATTAACACTTTTACAGTTGGGTTTTATATACAGGTCACTGGCAGCTGTGAGATGGTAAGTGTTGTATATACTAGTCATTGTGCAGAGTGCAGGGGTGTGAGACTGATGTGGGGACTTTGTCCCTGGTCCTTGAGGTGGGAGCTTCCAACACCTGGGTGAACCTGTGTCTTGTCAGGTAAGACTGTCCACCTCCTTACCTCTGTTTTCCTGTGCTCAGCACACCCCCATTCTGCTCCCTTTCCTGCATCCCCTCCCACTCTGCCCAGGGTGCAAAAATAGCTGGCTGTGCTGGAGAAAGTTACCTAGCTCTGGTTCCTTTGAAAAATGACCTGAATCATTACAGTGAAGCCCTAATATAGTGCAAAATGTAATATCTGTTGCAAGCACAAAACAGCAGCAAAACTGGTCCATCCAACTTGACTTCCAAAACCAAAGCTGATTACAAAACCCCAAACTTTTCATTAATTACAGACCAGGCAGCCAACTCACCGTTTCTTCCTCCTTGCTGAGGAGCTTGGCACAGGAAAGAAAATCCTCATACTTTGCATAGGGAATAACTGGTTCTGGGAGTTCTCTTAGATACAGCTTGAGCAGTGATGCCACTGTGTGCACATCTGTATTGCTGCCAGGAGGGAAGGTAAAAGATTACTGTTGGGGATATGTGGGATGCTGTATAGTTGGAGGCCTACAGTTTGCTGTTTTACAAAACTTAGGCCACTGGCTGATGTTCAGGTAAAGGTGTGATAGGATCTGATGTGTGATCCACACAATTGTGCTGTCTGCCATGCCACATGTGTACGTGGGATCCAGCATCAGATTCAATCACACCTTATTGTTGGTGCAGGGGGAGTTGCTCTCCCCACCCAGCTGCGAGCAACGTCAGCTGTGGTTTCTCAGCCATGGAAGCACATGGTGCATCCATATTGCAGAAGCCTCACCAAGCTCCCAGTCTCAAAGGAGCACCTGGCCACACATTCAATTAATGGCATAATAGGAACAAGCCACAAAGTAATTTAACTTTTTTCTGTGGAATAACTTTGTTATCATGCCATTCATAGATTGAACATGTGGCCCTATCACAACTTAAGGTGCAATTAATTGGTTTAGTCTATCTTGGGCTGCTTTGTCCCACAAATGACTTGCAAGGATACCTATGAACACAGCTCTTATAATGGATCATTTATTATTATTAAGC